AACACAACGTGGCCCTCTGCGGCCGGAGCCGAACACACCCCGCGCGTGGCGAGCTCCCGACACCACGAGGTCCCGCGGGTGGCGAGCTCCCCAACGCCACGTGGCCCTCCACAGATAGAACCGAACACATCCTGCGGGTAGCGAGCTCCCCAACACCGTAAGGCCCTCCGCGGCCGGAGCCGAACACACTCAGCACTCACCAGTGCCAACACCGCCCACATGGTTTTGTTGTACAAGAACTCGAGGTTGTTGCGGCGCAGGTAGATGAGGAAGCCGAACAGCGCCATCAGCAGCATGAGGCCGGCCGTGCCGGCGTAGTTGGGCGGCCGGATCACGCGGATCTGTGCGGCGCGGCCGGCAGGCGGCGTCGTCAGAGACGCACGACAAAGCAGGCGGCGGATCCCTCCGACGTCAGCAGACAGTGTCAGGCACGCACGACACGGCCGGCGGCGAGTCCCTCCGACGTCAGCAGACAGTGTCAGGCACGCACGACACGGCCGGCGGTGGGTCCCACCGGCGCCAGCGGGCGCGGCACTGCACGTGAGTGACACTATTCACGGCCCAGTTGCCCCGAATCAGCTCAACGCTTGCACTCCGGCCAGCTCACCGATGTGAGCTGTACCGCGCCGCCTGGCGGACCGGGACTTGCCGGAGACCCGGACCGTGGGCTCGCGCCTCCGCTCACCTGCACGTCCGTCATCGACTCCACCCACTTGGCCAGGATCTCGGCAGAAATCCCCGTCCGCTGGATGTCCATGATGTCAGACTTGCGGTAATTGCCCTTCGCCGGGAAGTGGATGAACATCGGAGCCGTATTGATCTTGAGCTGCGCGGACAGAAGGGAGCGGCAGTTAAGCGTAATACACCGGGGCCGTGTTGATATTGAGTTGCACGGATAGAAGGGGAACAGTTAGGCGCAATATTAATCCTTGTGGTTGAATAAAAAGGTCCGGTTCACAGACGTAGTTGAAGAGCACACAACAGTTCATTTTCGTGGTAAAACGGCTGTGTTTGAAATCAACCAATCATTATGTGGCTTACACGCAATCACTGCTGTTCGATGACATCACTATTTTCCAGAAACGGCTGTTCCCTCGGAAGCTCACATTATGATGGTCATTCTGGACACGAGCATGTCACGGGGAGCGCGCTCACCGACTGGAAGACGTCCGAGCCCTTGTCGAAATCGACCATAGCGAAGAAGACGTTGTTGGGGTACGACTTCGAATAGCGGTGTGATGTTGCCGTGATCATATACTCGTCATTCGCCTCCCTGAAAACAGTTCAAAATGGATATCCCACAGCGGTGTGCAGATAGTGGGGAGCTGGCAGAGCGATGACTACTTAAATGATAAACCGTATTCGAGGAAATAATGTTCATTGTTTAAGTGGGGCGAACCGTACTCCAGTTTTTATCAGATAACGACACAGTCCAAAAGGGCCGCCCCCACTGGAAGCCTATCGCACTTTTCATTGAATGAGGGAAAAATAGTACAAACAACTCCTGAAAACACCAACAAACTATTTTAAAAAACTGAAACATTGCCACTTCTGCGCTGTGTTTGACTGCAATAATATGACTAGTAGAATACCATAATGTAAGTGGCACTTCATCTAACTTCTCTCTATTGGGACCATGTTAAGGGAATGTTCCACATTGAATATAATGAGGCAAGCATCAGATATGATTAAATCAGCCCCCTTGTAATTGCTGGTGTACTTAAGTAAAACAGACTGCTCTAGACAATACAATTTCTCTGTTTAGTAAACAGCACAACTTCTCTGTTTAGCAAATAGATTCCTCAACACGTTGTCTGCTTACATCATCGTACCTTACAAAACATTGCGGCCCCATTGGCGACCGTCACATCTGGAAATCATACTCACGAACGCCATATGTGAGCGACGCGACCATTACACTTTTGTTGGTTTTGATCGTCGCCTGGCTAATGGAATGGCAGGATTTGAATGTTGTTATTATAGCGGCATTAATGTCTGGGTGACTTTGAAATAGTCTGCCAGAAGTAATTCTGCACATCTCGGACGTGTAGCTAAGAAACAAAAGAGGTTTAGGTCTTAAAACGGGCCTAGATGTGAACGGCGCCCGGATCACCTTCAAGATGATTATCTCCGTTCGAAACCCCATACAACTGTGGAACCACTCCCTTTACGACGCCACATTTCGAAGAATCGTTGCATCTACAGGGTCAAGACGGAACTCTTGCAAAAAAGGCACGAGTAGAGTAGGAAAGTACTGCAACATCCGTCAACTTGCCACGAACTCTACTCCACCTTCCCACGGTCAATGCGGCGTGGGACGATACCAGCGACAAGTGCGTGTGAGTTATCAGCTGTCATCGTGTAGATGATGTCGAAAACTCAGGTAATGGGCCCAGATTGGAAACTATGGGCGTGATCAGCCTGTTGAGAAGCTCGTTCTATCCGGAGTGTTAAACTGGGGGAGCTCTGCAGTACACTACTTCCATAGACAGCAGTCTGTAAAACTGGCCAGCTATGAGCCTGGTCACGCCTGGTAAGCTCATTCAACCAAATACATGACTACAGTGATCTACGATTTTGACAACTGCGACCAGTGTTGTGCAAACGCAAACATCCCGGGCGAATACAGGTAACCATGAAAAGGGCTATGTAGTCTATGTAGTTCCAATGACGCGATCTCGCGATCCCCATTCGCAGGTATCTTATACACTAAATCCGTTTCGTATAAGTCAACATTGACCGTTTACCGATCCGTGAAAGTTCATCTATGGATTGAGCGTCTTTGCAATATACCGCGAGACGCAGCTGATACATTCGCCTACTCAGTGCAGTTGGTTTCAAGGCGGTGTCGTTAGCACGAGTTGCTGGATGCATGATATCGGTCGGTAAAAGCGTCGCATGACCGGCCAATCTGTAGTTTGTTCACAAGAGCTTGTGCTTAAACCCCGCCCTGATAGGGAGGGGGGGTTAATGCAACCGCCCCCCCCCCCCCCTCCCCCTGAGGCTGCTTGTGGATATTTCTCTGGCACGTTGTGCCATCGTGCCCAAATTTTCAGTAGCGTATGGGGCATCCATTGCGCATGTTTTGACACCACACACAAGTTCCTAGTTATTTTTTTTCGGAGCAGCGGCGACTGTTGAACATTGCACGGGGATCTACGAACGGCGCGGGCGGCGGCGGCAACCGCGACTCCGCGGAGCGCGCGCGGGGGTCCGCCACCGTTAATATTAACGGAGCTATACATCATCAATATGTGGTCAAAACACGTGAACATACACTCCATTGTACTCACCCTGATGAAACAAGGATCACACCTGTTTAAGTTCCGTGTCCAAACAACGCATAGTCTCGTACGTGTGATGTAAACTGAAAGGTGGGATTTTTTGGAAAATTTGATCTTTGGTCAGCCATAATGGGGTTAACTGTGTGCCAACCACATAAAAACTAGTACCAATCGCGATGTCTCGTTGAAAAAATCCACTGGAGTTTTCCGCTGAATGATATCTTTATTACTTTGGAAACCCCAGAGGATTCGCATCCCCCCCCCCCCCCATCAGTTTGCGCTATGAAAAGAGGCGAATCAGGGAGAGGGTGAAGACGTCAAGCATATGACGGATTAGCCCTGAGATCCATCAGTTTGCGTCGCTGTGTGCTCAGCCTGGCGTACCGGCAGATGGCGCAGCCGCGGCGCGCGTCCATGGCCGTAAACATGACGACTGTTGAGTAGTTGCGCGGCCCCGAGCGCACCAGCGACTTAAACCGCTCGCTGTCTAGGCTGATGACGTAACTGCGGTAGCTGAGGTCGCTCATCTGCTGCCAGCGGTCTGCCAGTGACAGCTGGGGGCAGGGGAGATCAGCCTCAGTACAGGGGTGTGAGTAACGACCCAGCTGTGGTAGCTGAGGTCGCTCACCTGCTGTCAGTGCTCTGACAGCTGGGGCAGCCTCAGCGCAGGGGTGTGTGTGTAGTGGCCCAGCCAGGTAGCTGGGATCACTCATTTGCTGCCGGTGGTCTGACAGCTGCGGCAGTCCCAGTACAAGGGTGTGTGTAATGATCCAGCTAAGGTAGCTGAGGTCGCTCAGCTGCTGCCGGTGGTCTGACAGCTGGGGCAGTCCCAGTACAAGGGGGTGTGTAATGATCCAGCTAAGGTAGCTGAGGTCGCTCACCTGCTGCCGGTGGTCTGACAGCTGGAACGGTCTCAGTACAGGGGTGTGTGTAAAGACCCAGCTGTATTAACTCACCTGCTGCCAGAAACATCCCATTGACCACTGAGAACAGGCAGATGTCAGCCTCACTAGATAGAGGACCTCACCATACATGCTGGCATGTGGCTGTCAGCAGTCTGACAGCAACAGCCAAGGACGTGCAGAAGTCATTCCAACTAGGTGCATGGGTAAGCAGTAGCCTCACTGTAATACCCACGACTGCTGATCAGCTGTTAAGATTCTGGCAGCAACAGATGGGGAGTGCACAGAGGCTGGCCACAATGATTACAGGGATGTGTAATGACTCTTCTGCAGTAGCCAAGATTGTTTAAATGCTGCCAGAACTCTGACAGCACAGGCCACAGGTAGACAGAAGTCAACCTGACTGAACACTCCAGTATGTAATGGTGATCATGTGATTGGCAGCATGCCTTACCTGCTGCTTGCAGTCTGACAGTACTAGCTGGGCAAAGGAGAAGGTTAGCCTTGATGAGCACAGACCTGCACAGTAATATTGTGATGGCTGAGGCTGCTCATCTGCTGTAAGCAGTTTGAAGCACATGGTGTGTAGTGGTCCTGCTGGCTGCTACACCCCAGCATACCAAGCTACAGCTGCTAATATGCTGCCAGCAAGCTGGTATGATTAATAGACACCACCAAAGTTCAGACTAACAGGATGCCAGTTGGCAAAAACATTCATCCACTGTGTTGATGTGCAACACATCCAGTATGCAAAACATGGCAGACCAGCCCACAAGATGTTTGAGGCAGGTCTGATTCTGCCCAAAGTGGGGCAGCCAACTTTTCTGTTTGGACAGGGACCAATGATTTGAGGACTGGGTTAGGGGTCTCCACAGCTTCCTGATGCTCTCACTAATGCTCTGTTCAGGATGGATCAGAATCACAATGAATTTACTATGCTTTGTCCTGCATTACACCTTTATGTTGCCAAATTTACAGGACCTAAGAACACATAAGACTTTCACCATGAAAATGATAGAATCTGACAGTTTCAGAGTGGCCACACTGATACTGACCTATCTGCTGTGTGGCTGTTTGTGGCTGATTTCCCTGCTCAGCACAAGCAGGGAAACCTGGTGCTTGTGTCCTAGTGCTTAAAGTGAATTGTTGGATCTCTGACTACAGGAAGGTTGCATAACTAGTTCCACCTAGGAACTGGCAAGACAATATACAGACTAACAGGTCTGACACATTTAAAATAAATATGGTTCAATGAACCATTCAGCTAGACCTGTCACTTGTGCATTCTTCACATACTCAGTTACTTCATCCAGCTATCCTTGTTCTCCACCACAGCTCAAAATCTACCCCAAATATTCCTCCTTGCATAGCCCTGCCCAACAGGATGCTTTCAAAATCTTCCATTTTTGCAGACTGGCTGCACAATGAGCCTGGAGCACATGTGTGCCAAACTCAGGCTAATTCAAATTGTACTGAATTCAAAATATTAATCACTAAAATCACTATTCCTCACAGAATGACCTGGAAAATGGAAATGAATGCATTATTTCTCCCTTCTTCTCATTATTCTATAAAGAATATGGCTACAAGTACTGTCTTATTTATACTGTAACATTCCTCACGAATGCACTTAACAAATCACAGAATTTCAAAGGTTTGCTAGAAAAATTAGGTACTTCTGCTTCAAAAAGTCTAGGTAGCATCATAATTCCTTGGAACATTGGCTCTATATGCAGACAATTAAGGCAACCATGCACCAAACTCGGGGCTCACAGGTTTAAGCCTGTGGCTATCAAACACAGTGGCTAAGCCTGTGGCTATCAAACATGTGGTAAACAAACAAGTATGGTTGCTGGTGACTGGGCTTAAGTAGTCAAAGTTGCATGTCTTAGGTCAGCATTCTAACAGCAACAGCTGAGATGGCCAGAACAGTGGGTGTAGGTGTACTTTCCTACCTAACATTAGAAAAAATCATTGTACAACATTTGTCACGTTTTTAAAGCGGCACAGATTGTAAATAATCTCAAAACAGGTCGAATCATGCTCCTACCTTCAAATTTTGATAACTTCGATGGCGGACTCCCGAGCGCCGCACACACCGCACCGTCTGGACTCCCTAGCGCCGTTTCTGTGTTGCCGTTGCGTAAATACAATACGTCTGCTTACCAAGAACTATAAAAAATGCATGGGACCAGGGTAACAATGATAACATAATGAAAATTGTTTCGTATTGCGTTTAGGTATGTTCATGAAACGCACAGGCCAGAATAGTCTAGCACATAGCCTAACCTAACCTAACCTAACCTAACCTAACCTAACCTAACCTGACCTGACCTGACCTGACCTGACCTGACCTGACCTGACCTGACCTAACCTAACCTAACCTAACCTAACCTAACCTAACCTAACCTAACCTAACCTAACCTAACCTAACCTAACCTAACCTAACCTAACCTAACCCAACCTAACTGAGGATAGACCAGAACCTAAGCTGAGCTAAGCTAAGCTAAGCTAAGCTAAGCTAAGCTAAGCTAAGCTAAGCTAAGCAAACATAACCTGGTTCTTGATGCATCATCTTGATGCATCAAGAACCACAAAAATGTATGGGGCCAAGGTAACAAGAATTCATGAAATTTGATCCTCGATGCTAACAGGACGATGGGTTGCAGGGGGATTGGGTGGCGAATGTAAAGCAAAATGAAAACATGGTGCCTAAATAAAAGCTCACTATACAGTACCTATATATGGCATGGAACATGGATGCCAATGGGATGCTGGGTTGAAGGAGATATAGGGTGGGGAGGTTAGGTTAGGTTAGGTTAGGTTAGGTTAGGTTAGGTTAGGTTAGGTTAGGTTAGGTTAGGTTAGGTTAGGTTAGGTTAGGTTAGGTTAGGTTAGGTTCAGTTAGGTCAGTTAAGTTAGGTTCGGTTCGGTTAGGTTAGGTTAGGTTAGGTTAGGTTAGGTCAGGTCAGGTTAGGTTAGATTAGCTTAGCTTAGCTTAGCTTAGCTTAGGTTCTGGTCTATTCTCAGTTAGGTTAGGTTAGCTTAGCTTAGCTTAGCATAGCTTAGGTTCTGGTCTATTCTGGTTCTAGGTTCTAGACCATTCTGGCCTTATTTCATTATTATTTCATATTTTATTATTTCATTATTATATTATTTCATTCTCTATTTTACTCTATTTCATTTGACACGCAATCGCCCAAACGCGATAAGAAACTTCATTGCGTTATTATTGTTACCTTGGTCCCATACATTTTTTATAGTTATTGATGCACAGTAATGTTGTGACCGGGTGCAGTAATGGCACCAGTGTCATGGCTGCTGTGTGTGCGGCGCTCAGGATCTCACCATCATAAATATTAAAAAATGTGAAGGTAAGAGCATGAATCTACCTGTTTTGTGATCATTCATGATATGTCCTACCTTAAACACTACAAATGGTGTACAATTTTTTTCTAATGTTAGGTAGGAAAATACACCCTGACTGGACAGTGCCTTCAAATACCCAGAAAAGAACTCTAAAAACAATGGTGGAGCTGGACCTCTTCTGAAGTGTACATGCTATGGGACACATGAACACACACACCACACACACACACACACACACACACACACACCACACACACACACACACACACACACACACACACACACACACACACACACACACACAGATATATATATATATATATATATATATATATATATATGTATATATATACATATATATACACAAATATACACGCATCTATACAAAAAATACAGAAGGAACCAGCAAAAATGCTGGCCACAGCCCACCAACCATACTCACCTCTTTTTTCCGAACTTGATCAGATAAACTAACAAGAAGGGCTACACAAAATGCTAGTTTATAAACCATCCACATCGTTCAAAGCTCTTTGAAGTTTACAAGACTGATACAGAGTCTCGAAATCTTGAAAAGGACGCTCACACCTCCAAACAAGTTATGAGCTATTGCGGCATGCGGTACAGCAAATCCACCCCAACCGTCAGCAAAAACAGCCCATGTTTCCCTTCGCGGCGGCCGGCAGGGACGGAGACGAATGTGAGGGGCGAGGGACATACCGCGACGAGCTGCGTAACGTACGTGTGATAGTCTGTTCAGGGCCGCGTTTATCAGGCTGCTTCATTGTCGAAGAAAAGCACGTGGTAGCCTGTAGACCGTCAATATGGGATCTGATTGGTTACATTGCCCCACCGTCGAGGCATTCAACTTGTTTTGGACGTATTTCAGTCTACGAAAGCCAGCGTGGAGCAGAGAAGGCGAACGCACAGTGCTGTGAATGGCATGACATTCGCAACGACAGTGTGGATAACGCTGGGGGTGTATGCCTGTGAGGTGTCACGCCTTGGGTGTCACAGAACACCTATAACTTAGTTAGTAAATTTTCGTGCAGTTTGTCGGATACCTCTAAGCGGCGCTCGTCAGACTACGCAGACATTCATTGGCTAGTACATAGGTGTTTCCGACACCTTGTACTAAACCCTTCTTAAAAGAACAACACTCATAGTTGAATTATTCCTTCATAGCATCATGAACAAATATATAGCGAACCTAAATTAAAGCGCTCAGTAGGAAAGGTCCTTGAACGGTATCCACCAGGTCATTGCAACTAACCTAAACAACATGTTGGCACAAACAATACAAATACGTCCTTGAACGATATCCTGCAGGTCATTGCAACTAACCTAAACAACATGTTGGCGCAAACAATAGAAATACACCACGGATCATTGTTACGCACCCAGCTATCGTAATCATGGGCTAAATTGATCTGGAGTCCGTCTGACTCGGGCGCTCCGTGTTCGCGATAGCCGTTAGAAGACGGCTGCCTTACAGACAATGGGATTCGGGACCTGGGTGCATTCGACTGGGGACTCGGACTTGGTGATTCATCGGTTCGAGCCAGGGTACGGAGGGATAGTGGTGACGTGGGCCGCGCGACACGTGACCTGTGCATCGGGGTAGGGCACCGGGTCAGTATCGCGGTAGGGTATAAAAACCGGCACATGACGCCAACACGCAAGTTCTCCAAAACGGCTCGTCCGATCGCCTCGAAATATTCACTAATCGATTCCATGCAATGAGGTGAGTCATCGGAAGGCAGCATCGAGACCTGACCTGAGATCAAACACCTCGAAAACGCAAAAGGAAAATTTAATATGGAAATGCAGACAACTCAGATCTCAGAGCCTACTGGATCGATCACTGTGAACCCTTCACGATCGAATGCACCGTACCTGATTCCTCCTTACAGTCTCAAATTTGGTGGCTCTAGGTCAGGTCAAAAGTCATGTAATCTTACGAAGTCCAAAATTGTTGCTTGCAGACAACTTATAGCTATTGTTGTGCCCATTCTCGCGTTCCGTCACTCAAGTCAGTTGGTTTATGCTACATTCGATGATCGGCGTCTGGTCAGGCCAGAGAAGGGACACGCACGTTTCTCCCCCTGGCGTCGCTCGGTGATCAACTAGTTCGGCACGCGGCGGTGGCAGGACCCCGGCGTGGCGTCCACCATATGGGGACCAGCCACCAGTCGGAAGGGGCCGGAAGGGACAGGCCAACAGAGCTAAACTAAATAATATATGAATTTGAAGAGACACATGACAGGGGAACCGAGTGAAAGCTATAACAGGAGCTCGGAGGAGGGACAACATCACCGACGTTTTACAGAAAAAATGAAAACCGAGTAAAGTCAAATTTGTCCGAAGCAGCCATGAGCCTACCCATCCGATCACTGTCAAATCCTCACCATTGGATGCCCATACCTGATTCTCTATTGATCGGTTGAGTAGGTTCTTAGCTATAAGTTGTCTGCAAGCAAGAATTTTGGACTGTGAAATTTGACGATTTTTGACCTGTCTTAGGGTCACCAAATTGGAAGCGAAAGAGGGAAACAGGTATGGGGCATCCAATGGTGAAGGTTTCACAGTGATTGGTCCTGTGGGCTATGAGATCTGAGTGTCTTCATTGCATGTAAAACTTTTTCTTCGCGTTTTCGAGGTGTTTGACCGCAGGTCAGGTCTCGATATTGCCTTCCCATGACTCACCTCTGTTGTTTATTGGAGTTTAGGGGCGCGCCGACTGCGGTGGTCATCTGGCGCCCATAACGAGTTTGGTTTTACCTATCTAATGAGCCGCATAAATGGTCCCAAAGTTGATGTGTTTGAGAAAACAAAAAGATCTGTTGAAATTCCAGAATGGTGATGTATCTCCTAGCATATCACAGAGGGGTAAGGGGCAAGTCATGCTGTCCAAAATAACGTTGGCATTCTTCCGCGAGGCGCGGACAAGAAATAGAATATGGCGAACGGTGAGGACGGCACCACATCGATGACAGATCGGTTTATCGGCTCCCTCCAACATGTAGCCGTGGGTTGCGTATGTGTGCCCCGATGCGCAATCTGCAGAGGATCACCTCCTCTCGCCGCATTTTCCGGGAACAAGAGAACCACTGACCTAGCTTAGGTTTTATCTCTCTGAGCTTATTACTATCCATCCGATCCCAACAACGCTGCCATTTGTTGTGCAGGAAGGTTTTATTGCAGGGTAAAAGTCTCTGGTAGGAATAGAAAGAGAGTGAACACATGGAGCCAGCGCTGCTCGCCCTGGCAGCCGCGTCAGCCAACTCGTTGCCCGCGATGCCGACATGACTAGGAACCCAGCATAGCATGATTTTCTTTCCGGCCTCATCCAGTTGAGTCAAACGTATTAAAATGTCCTGTGTAAGGGAACATGACGGATAAATAGACTTCACACTCAGAACGCTGCTCAGAGAGTCCGTCAAAATGAGATGCAAGGGTTTGTCACCGACTTCAATGAAACATAGTGCCTTAATGATTGCTATAAGCCTCTGATGTAAACACCGAAGCGTTTGGGGGCAATGAAAACGACCGGGTGACGCCACCGCTCACAAACGCACAGCCTACACCATCAGAAGTTTTAGAGCCGTCCGTGTAAGTGTGTGAGTAACCTCATATAACGCAATACGCTCAAACGTTCTGGACCTCATTATATCTGGCAGCGAGACACCTTTTTCATTTCAGTCAGAAATGTGTCTGTGAAGGGTGAGATCAAATGCCAGGGAGTAGTGCACAGGTGACGTGATCGCTTCACCTTTCGAATGGGAATTTCGGTTTCCCGCAGTAAGGCTTGTATCCGAGAGCCAAAGGTCACTGCATGCGCCCGAGGTGCATTGCGACAAACGGCACAGCAGGCCGCGGAAAGACTGCGTGATATGCGGGATGACACGGAAACTGTCGCAGCTTAAGTGCATAACGCATGCCAAGCATTTTCCTCCTCGCTGACAACGGCGGCTCGTGCGATTCTACCAGGAGGCTTTGGGTAGGAGATGTACGGAACGCCCCTGTGATGGCACGTAAAGCAGTGTGATGGATGGTGTCAATGATCCGTTTCGTGGACTCACATGCGCTGTCATAAATAAAACATGCATAGTCCAGCTTAGAGCGTATGACTGCCCGATACAGCACAAAAAGCCGTGCTCCCATCTCCGCCATACGATGGTGCGCGAAACATATTTTAATACGTTCAACGATTTAAAACGGCGTTCACGTTGCGTTTTAAGATGTGCCCTTATATGTAAGACGGCGGTCAAAGTATACCCCAAGGTATCTAACCACAGGCTCAGTTGAGATGCCTTGTCCATACATACGGATAGAAAGGTCACCCGCATTGCCGGCTACGACAAAAAAATGCATGGCTACAGTCTTGCTACGTGAAAACCTGAGCCGTTCATGGTACTACTCCACTTCCCAACGCGGGTCAACAGCCAACTGGAGTTGGCGGTTCCATCGATGGCGGTCTTGCTGCGCTAGTCAAATGGTAAAATCATCAACAAAAAGCGCACGACCTACCGACTGCGGAAGCCCCATCCCAATGTCGTTGATCATAACGGCGAACAAAAGCTACGCTGAGAACACCGCCTTGGGGCACAACACCGTTAACTTGAACATGCCTCTCAGAGAGCGTGTCTTCAACACGGACACGAAAGAACGGTCCAACTAGAAAGCTTTGAAGAAAGGTGCCCATATTGCCGCGTATACCATACCTGTGTAGCTTGAGAAGGATGCCTTGACGCCATGTGGTGTCATAGGCGCCCACTATGTCAAAGAACACTGCGCCTATGTGTCGGCTTGCTTTAAAATTCCCATACGAATCGCAGTGTCAAGAACTAAAAGATTGTCAACTGTGCTGCGATTCTTCTAAGCCACGCTGGCCGTTTGTAAAAAACGCCGTGGTGTTCTAAAAAACCCAAGTTAAACGGACATTAACCATCTTTCCATCAACTTACAGAGGCGAGTAAGTGAGAGAAATAGGTCTATAGTGTAAAGGATCCAGTCCACTTTTTCCCGGTTTCAAAACAGGAAACGACTATAGCTTCTCGCCAAGAGGCTGGAAAGTCCCCACTGGCCCAAAGCGCATAAATACCGCTAAAAAGAGCACGAAGCACGCAAGGCGGCAAATGCTTGAGCATGTCGTTTGTGTACAGTGTCCGGACCTTCTGACACGCTGCGAAGCTTGGCAATCGCCCATTCCAACTCGACCGGGGTGAATGGATCGTTATAGGAGTGCGGCTTACTCGTTGAAAAAATCAACTGCGGATTGCGCACATTGCGCTCGTGCCGCACAAACTGTGGGATAGTGTTGCCAGATTCGCTGCGTAGGCCAGCGCCCGGGCATCTCGTTCGCAACTTCCAACGGTCGCGTCACGGCCTGTTCGTTCACATATAGTACTGGAAGAGCCATGAGTGAAAACTGCCCAGATATACGTTTAATTCGAGACCAAACCTGCGATGTTGGCGTGAAGCGGTTCAGCGTACTCACGTAAGCATGCCAGGAAGCACGCTTCGCCTCCCTTACGGTGCGCCGAGCAAAAGCTCTCGCCTTCTTAAAGGCTATAAGGTTTTCTGTACTGCTTCTGGCGTCAAAGGCCCGGAATGCACGTCTACGCGCCCGGATGGCGCTCCGACACTCTTCCGTCCACCACGGAACAGGGGTACGTCG